GAGCAGATGTCTTCCTAACCTCTCCCATCACGGGGGGAGACCTGGATGCGCCACTTGGAATACGCAGTTTTGTCTGGCACTGCTCTCAAGCAGATAGCAGAAGGAATGCAGGCAGATGAGCCTCCGTTTCACTGGGGGATCAACTACAGTGCTCACTAATGAGCCACAAAAGCAGAGCAATTGGGGGGTTTAAATATGGCGCTCTGATGAAGAAGAGTTTGAGCCAATCAGCACCTCAGTGCTAATCTACAGTATCAGGATGCCTTTACACACACCAGACACTCTTTGTCATAAAGAGAGGAGGAGAACGAGTCAGAAAGACTGAAGGACACGTTCTTCCAGCTCTCGTACAAAGATGAACTTTGCATTGATTTTATATCTTGGATGGTTACAGATGTACAATTAATGACTGTCTTTATATTTCCAATGACCAGACATGTGTTGAATAGTGGTGATTCATATATTTTTGCCAGATCAGATTACACTTTCGCACTAACCAAAATTAATTCAGATTATAAAGTATTGAATCATAAGATATTTCTACTATTATCACAGATAATGTTAATATCCTTAATCGTCCAGCAATCAGGCTTAACAACACTACTCTTTAATGTATTATCCATGCACGGAAAGACCTACAATGATGTTTCAAGTACTGGATTAATTTCAGTTTTGGCCCAAAACAAATATTTTTGCTATTGTGCACCTGTGTTTTATGTGTGTTAATTATTAGGCTTTTGACAAAGGATGATCAAACATTGATGAGAGATGATTTTTCTATTATGATTGGCTGTATCAATCATTGTGATTGAATGTTTCAATCTTAATGTGATTGTTATTGATGTAATTGATGTTGTGTAAGTCCACACTCAAATCTGAAGATTCCCATTGATTTAAGTATTGAACTAAATATTATTAGACTAAGGGTTTTAGATTATCAAACTTGATAAAAAGAAAGAAACTTTAGATTATCAAAATTGATAAAAAGGAAGAAACTGTTGTGGAAATATTTTCCAAGGCCCGTAACTTTGACCCAGTTTATCAGTTCAAACTGTCCTGACTGAGCACACGCACCTCGTAACCTTGGCTGCTGTGCTCTCAGTGTTCTGTCTCCCTGTTCCTGCCTGTTGGCGTCAGCTGATAGAGGTGTTATCATTCTATGTTCCTGCCTGTTGGCGTCAGCTGATAGAGGTGTTATGGTTCTATGTTCCTGCCTGTTGACGTCAGCTGATAGAGGTGTTATGGTTCTATGTTCCTGCCTGTTGGCGTCAGCTGATAGAGGTGTTATGGTTCTATGTTTCTGCCTGTTGGCGTCAGCTGATAGAGGTGTTATGGTTCTATGTTCCTGCCTGTTGGCGTCAGCTGATAGAGGTGTTATGATTCTATGTTCCTGCCTGTTTTCGTCAGCTGATAGAGGTGTTATGGTTCTATGTTCCTGCCTGTTGGTGTCAGCTGATAGAGGTGTTATGATTCTATGTTCCTGCCTGTTTTCGTCAGCTGATAGAGGTGTTATGGTTCTATGTTCCTGCCTGTTGGTGTCAGCTGATAGAGGTGTTATGATTCTATGTTCCTGCCTGTTTTCGTCAGCTGATAGAGGTGTTATGGTTCTATGTTCCTGCCTGTTGGTGTCAGCTGATAGAGGTGTTATGGTTCTATGTTCCTGCCTGTTGACGTCAGCTGATAGAGGTGTTATGGTTCTATGTTCCTGCCTGTTTTGGTCAGCTGATAGAGGTGTTATGGTTCTATGTTCCTGCCTGTTGGCGTCAGCTGATAGAGGTGTTATGATTCTATGTTCCTGCCTGTTTTTGTCAGCTGATAGAGGTGTTATGATTCTATGTTCCTGCCTGTTTTCGTCAGCTGATAGAGGTGTTATGATTCTATGTTCCTGCCTGTTGACGTCAGCTGATAGAGGTGTTATGATTCTATGTTCCTGCCTGTTTTCGTCAGCTGATAGAGGTGTTATGATTCTATGTTCCTGCCTGTTGACGTCAGCTGATAGAGGTGTTATGATTCTATGTTCCTGCCTGTTGACGTCAGCTGATAGAGGTGTTATGCAGCAGTTTGATGATGCTCTCAGAACTAGTTAAATACCTGGGTCTGAGGTAGAGTTCTTTAGAATTGACGTGGCAACTCTACCGTGAAGTCAGAACCTCTGGCTCTTGGACTTGTGATGTGAATCCTCCGGCCGTAACTCCAAATAAACCATCAGTGTTTGACATCAAAGCTACTGCTCCTACCGTGTCTCCTTCCTGAGTCGGTGACTCCCACTGCATAGCTACACAGAAGTTTCCTCTACACTTAGCACCAGTGATGCTAAGCATGCACATCCTACCTAGTGCTAGAGGGCTATCACCTTTTGAAATGTTATATGGAAGTCTTGTGGTCATTTAACATCTTGCCAAGGACAACAGTTGAAAATTAGCCTGCTGGCTAATACTGGCTCATTTACAGTAATGTGAATTAATGTGCACTGTCCTTTAAATAAATAAACAAACAAAACAAACAAAAAAGACCATATTATCTGCCTGAGTTAAAACCATTTGTAAGAGAGGACGAGAGTATAAGTTGTAGTGAAATATTTGTATGTATTCATGTTAGCAAACTATGAATAAGCTTAAAATGGGAAATAATTTGTGTAAAACTGTGAGCTGGATTTGGGGCCTGTTGACATGTGTTTTTGAGGACAAAGGAAGATGGGGGAAGGTGAGAGCATGTCTTGATTTGCATTCAACTTAGATCTAGCTACAGTGATTGGGGAAACCTAAGATCTGAGGTGTTTGTGATATTTGGGGCTGCCAATCAAAAGGGGGGATCAGATAACTCCTCCCATTGTTAGAAAGTATAAACGCAGAGACACACGCTGTGTTCAGTCTCTTTCCTCTGGCTGGCTCACGTGCAGGTAAATTCGGGATCCCAAAGATAACTGTATGGAATTTGTACTGTATTGATTGTATTGCATTGTCATGTTACCATTAAAGTAGATTATTGTTTAACGGTTACTTGGTAGCTCTGGATTCCTTCCTGTATTATAACCAGCTTGATAGGGACGCGCGGAGATTTGAAAAGCGGACCAGGTATCCCTTTAAATCTCCATCAAAGTGAAAACACAGCAGAATATATGGCAAACATTTTGAGAAGTAAAGAGATCACAAATGTTCTTGTCCCCTCTGCACAGGAAGTACCTGACACTACACAGACAGTGAAACCAGGAGAGTGAGTGTTCACCAGAGCGATAAAGAGGAAGAGCTGGCACTCGCCCAAGTGGGAGGGTCCCTACCAAGTACTCCTGTCTACACCGACTGCAGTTAGAGTGGCATCTTGGATACACCTGACTGTGAAGCTGTTTAAACCTAAAGACAGAAACTCGCCTCTACTGTGGTGAAGTCTGGCTACAAAGGGAGGTGATTCCAATAAGGGCACTTGTCTCAAACCAGTGAAGAAACCAACAGAACCCAGTAGAATTTAAAGAGTGGACGTTAGCAGGGAAACAGTAACGGGTCTGAGTGATAGAAACTGACGATGTACAGAGAAATAATTAGGCCATGGCATCCATTCGGATTACATTAAAACATGTGCCTATACAATCTACCTACCTCAGCCGTTTGGGTACTTTTGTATATGAATTTTTTATCTTTTATAATCATTTGTATTTTTCCAAGTTCTATGTTATTCCGTAGTATAAACAGGAGGGATATGTTGGAGAAATACTGTTTTGTCCACTCTTTGGGTTGTTTTAATGCACTGATATCATGTGTGGCTCTGAACTGTGTATGACCTTGCAGCTGCCTCTTCTTGTGATAGGAGGAGGCAGGGCATTTCAGGTTGTTGATATTTATGAGAAGACAGACTTGCTGTCTCCTAAATATCTAATTTCTATGAAGCGTGAAGGAAGTGCGTGACTCTTTCCAGAAGACGTCACAGATGACCCATCGCAGATGACCCGACTTTCCGACACCCGCGGCTGATATTAGCGCCACCTCGATTTACGACTTTGTTGTTATCTCCTGTATTTTGGACGATATAAGCCTGATGTTTTTTGCTGTTCCTTTGAGCAACATACCCCATGTGTGTGAGTTAACCCATATCCTTTGTATGTGATTTAACTCTGCTCCTTCTTGCAAGAATAAATTAGTTACCTGATCATTGATTCTCAACCTGGTGTCGAGTGATATTTGTTCTAACATTCACACACACACACACACACACACACACACACACACACACACACACACACACACACACACACACACACACACACACACACACACACACACACACACACACACACACACACACACACACACACCACACACAAACACACCACACACACACACACACACACACACACACACACACACACACACACACACACACACACACACACACACACACACACACACACACACACACACACACACCACACACACACACACACACACACACACACACACACACACACACCACACACACCCAACACACACAACACACACACCACACACCCACACACACACACACACACACATAATAAGAATCATCTCTCTCCGTGCGCTGTCACTCATATGCGCTTTTCGCGTGGAATATGTCAATTATTCTCAATTATAAGGCTATTCTTACCATTTTATTTTATCTTTTATATCATCACAACGTACTGTGATGTTACTAATAATGTTGCTTCTTAGCCCCTAAAATAATAATCATAATACACAAGTATCATAAACGTGGGGTGAGTCGACTAATCTCCTGAATTGATTGACGGACTGGCGACCAGGAAAATCTTAATATCCTAGGGAAGTCATAGTATTTATATTTACACATTATGATTTAATATTTCAAATGTCAGATCTACTGGCCATAAATTAAGAGAATGCTTCAAACAACCCATCAGGACAGGAAGTAGTTAGACCCATCGTTACTGGTTACACTCTACACAGTTAGTACCTTCTTCAGAATTGACTCTGGAATATCCTTCATTGGGGTTTAGCTACTAAAGGGACTCTCACCTTGGCTTTTAGTGATAGTGGTTGCGGTGATTCCATCCAATTTCTTCTTCTTCAGCCCATCTCGGATTTCTGACACTTGCGCGTTATAGGGGGACAGAATCACAATATTTTGCTGTTCGATATTGGCTTTAGTCACCAGCTTTTCAGCAATGTCAATCTGCAAAAGAAACCAGTAAAACAAAAATAAATAATGTTAAGTATTACTATCAGGTGACTTTTACCCTTATATCTTTATATTGCTGTTTAAAATCAACAGGGAAACAGGGGGTGCCCAATACAGTACCACTTTGATTCTCTCTTCCTCGTTGGCTTTGGAGTTCTCGTTGCCCTTAGCTGTGTTGACCACCAGGCTGACGGTCTTTCCTCTGATGTCCCCAAAAACGATCGGCATCGTCTTATTGTCAACACGCAGGACGCTGCTCGGCTGCTCCACTCCGGTTAACAGATTCCCCTCGTAAAATTCTTGTGACGGGAACTTGCATATTTCCTCATGCTATAAAGGCACATAATTGCTAGTTGGTGATTGCCACTTATAACACAAAAACTCAAGTTGGGTAATAAAACAGTAAGTACATATAGTTAGCGTCATTTATGGTGATTTTACAACAGCTAGGGGGCATTGTTAGGGATGGAGCTAATATTAAACTAACTACAACTGTATTAAATAAGTCACCTCATGTGATAAGTGGATGAAGAGATGGACAGGGTAAAAGAGGTCGCAAAATATATAAAGTTATCCTGGGAAAATATATTATCCTCCACCTACTGGTGGCGTATGCACCTTATTAATAATAATGATAGCAACCTGTCATAAAACCAAAAATAGAAGAGACAGAGGAAGCTAAAAAACATCTAGGTTACGGTCGTATTGTCAGTTTAGTTTAGGAAGGTTCCTGACGGAGTGAAATTACCCGGAAGTACCTCAGTGGCAGCCATGATAAGAGCTGTTTGAATTCTCTAGATCAGTGGTTCTCAAATGGGGGTACGCGGACCCCTAGGGGTACGTTGGAGTACTGCAGGGGGTACGTGAGATTTATTTTATGTTAATGAAAAAAACAACATAAGTAATGCATTTAAACAACTACTAATAGTAACTACTTTATTCAAAGGTTTACAGTTATTCTGGATAATAAAATGGGGGAAATAAACGGGGTGCTCTCTTTTCCTCTCCCTCTCCTGACAGCCCATCAGTCTCGTGCAGCTCGCTGAACCTGTAATAAGTGACCCGACAGTAAAGAATAAATATATGTATAACTAGTATAGCTAGTTCCAGAGTAGATAAACTAGCTAAGTGTGTTAGGTCTAACTGTGTATTTAATTTTGCTCCACTCAACGGTCCGTCACAGCAGCGGAGCTTTGATCATGCAGAGCTGCGTGTTCTCCGTCAGCAGCAGCTGATCTGATCTTTGATCTCTCTCTCGCGTCTGGTTATACTTCACTCGCGTTTATGTCCAAATCTATCAGATCTAGCTAGTTCTAGTTAATGATATGACTGCCTGCTTATCAAAGGACCTAAACAATAAGCGTTGCTTGGCAACGGCGTGTGGCTGCAGAGTATAGCGCAGCATTATGCATATATGCATATATGCATATATATGCATATATGCATATATGCATATATATGCATATACTGTATGTAAATCCCATGCTCATAAAATGCTCATATATTTGTTTCTCTTCATTCCCCACTCCCCTAAATAGATAAATATACCAATTTTAGGAAAAGTAAGGAAGTTTGAGCAGTGTGGGTTTTATATGAATAGAGTTACACATATTTCAAAACGCGAAGTGTAATAACTGCAGTTTGCCTCCCTGTCAGAATAACAAAGATCCTCAGTGAAGCACAAGCCCATGTTTCACTACATTGTAAGTACAACTTATTAAAAAGATCAGTTCAATGCAACTAATGTCGTCTTAGTTTTATTGCATGATGTTAAAATTGGTTTGCCATGAATTTAGTGATGGATTGTAAGCATTTGAAATGTAGCATTTAAGTGTTTATCAGTTACAATGTTGTTGTTTTAATAAATCAGACACTGATGGTGCAGCGCTGTACTGTACCTCTTTATATAGGCCTTTTTTCCATAACAAATAGTTTTTGCGCTGATCAGGGTACTTGGCTGAATTTTTTTTCAAAGGGGGTACATGATTGAAAAAAGTTTGAGAACCACTGCTCTAGATGATAGGAAAGGAGCTTTGAAACTTGGTGATATACACAGTTATAGATGTGAAGGCCTAAAAAGTTTTTATAAATAAAATTGTATTGATTTTAAAATACTATCAAACAATCATGTGGATGATTACGTGTGGAACGGAGGGTGACAACAAGTTTCACTTTACTTTTTTTTTTAAATTCCAAACTAATGAAGAATATATTTTTCACTGTTTTCCACGTTCATAAAGCCTGCATAAAACAATACCATACGAACGCACGGTGCAAAGTATCTATGTGCGCTGACAGTAGTCCACTGTACGGCATATTGTGGTTTCCCCATGGCAGACGCACATTAGCTGCTGGTGGGCATACATATGTTGGTTATAATGTAACTGCAACAAGATTAGAAGTGTTCTTTCTCATAATGTTAGGGTGATTGGAGGTCCTGCATGTTGTTCAGGGTGTGTTGCTTGATGCTAAATATATTTTCTGGTGGAAACATTCTTATTTTCAAACAATGGATGAATGATTTTTGTGGTGCTGTGTGTATTTGTACTTCCCATGCACAGTATTGGTGTTTATAAATGTTCTCACCATTCTGTACTGGGTGTCCAGCATCACGGCGTTCTTCTTATGCATCGTATGGTAACGTTCAAACAGAGACTTGGCCATCCCCATTCTCCTCACATGCACATTCTTCACAATGGGTCGTAACTGTTTATGGTCCCCGATCAAAACAATCTGAAAGAGAAGATCTGACAGTGAATAACTAGTGTCACGAAATTGAAAGGCTTGGGGCTGAGGGGGGCACGAGTGTGCTCAAATCTGTCCAATTTATTTTGATAAGAGGAATACCTGGTGGGGGAACTAGAGCAGTGGTTCTCAAATGGTCAGGCCTCGGGACCCACTTTTTACTTGGTCAATACATCGCGACCCAACATTTTGAAGCACTCAAATCTATTCAACAAAAAATCGTGCTGTAATATATATATATATATATATATATATATATATATATACGCTTCTCAGCATACAATATTAATAAAAGTGAAGTAGCCTACAGTGCATATATCCCTTATATCCCTTCACAGAACTAAAGTATGCTTTTAAAAAGGTTTAATGAGATGATGGAATTAAAGCTGAACTATATAAAAAGGCACGCATGCTGAAAACCCAACCCCAGCAGGGGGGTCTGGGGGGATTCTCCCCTAGGAGATTTTTAGAAATACTAACATAAACTATGCATTCTGATACACTCTGAGAAGAAAATAAATAAATCTATTACTACCCGACATATTAATAATATGTTATGCCATTGTTTGTTTTTCACTTTGTTCTGACATCTTGCTGCGAGAAGAGCAAAGAGGAGATAGTCTGTGTGACTTACTTTAAATTGTGGGTAAGGGTAGATAGCTCCCATTGTTCTGTGACCTGTCAGTCATCAGACCGAGGGTCATATTTCATTACGTGTTCATTTGTATCTGAAGTTGTAACCATGGATGTATAAAGAATAGTTCTACCGCAAAGTTATTCTCCGTGGGAACTTCCGGCAACAATCTTGATTCTGATTGGCCAGAAGACTCGAAAAAACATCAGCAAAGATGTTTTATTGAGAAGATGATCACTACGTGACAGACGTTTTCAAAACCGTTTATGGTCTCCGGTACTTCCAGTCCAACGCCGACTGCATGCACAGCGTTAGAAATCGGGCCTTCAAAATACAAGTTTGACTTTTTCCCCAAAAAAATAAATAATAATAATTCAAAAAAAATGTTTCCTAATTTATTTGTCTTTACTCACACATCCGCGACCCACTCGAAACGGGTCCGCGACCCACTTTTGGGTCGCGACCCACCAGTTGAGAACCACTGAACTAGAGTGTATGTATGTGTATGTATACATACAGTATATAATATATACATATGTGTATTTGTGTATGTATATATAATATAGGTATATGTGTATGTATACATATGTATTGTAAAACCCCATAACCTGAGTCTAAGCTTCAGCCTTATATTATATATATGATATTATTCCGTTTGTTTCAATCTGCCCTGGTAGTTTGTCATTTTGTTTGTGAAGCAAGACATATTGTCTTTTGACATGTAATTTAAGGGCAGTTTCATGAATCAAGGCCACATTCATCATTATCATACATACAGCATTAAAGGTAGGGTATGTAAGTTTGAGAAACCAGCTCGAGATCACTAGAATTTGAAAATACACGACCGGAGAAAATCTGCCACTTCCTTACAGAGCCCCTCCTCCAACACACACGAACGTGCACATGACCAATGAGGGCACGAGATAAGTTTGTGCACAGATGGAAGGCTGACAGGCAGGTAGGCCATCCAGTTACTTTAGCCGGGCCGGCTCAGATGATTGGTCGTGCTTTTTACAGCGCTACGGCTTCCACAGATGACTTTTTTAAATGGATTTGTTGTCAAAGCTCTTAAGATATTCATTGCTATCGGGATGTTAAGAGCATTCCATGGAACATAACAAAAAGTGTATCTCGAGCCGGTTTCTCAAACTTACATACCCTACCTTTAAGGACAGTGTAAGCAGAGAGCCAGAGCAGAATCATTATTGTTACATGTAAATGAAAACCCACCTTCTCTGGCCGGTTGCAGACTAATGGAATCAGGGCCTGGGGTTCAGTGGCCATTGCACATTCATCAATGAGGATCTGCCGTGCACTGACGGTCTTAGTCAGATTCGGGGTGGAAGACTGTGTGCATGTACACAGTATAATGTCATGCCGTTCAAACTCATATTTCCGAGCCTTTACCAGAAGTTTTTTGTATCTTGGAGGGAAAATAATAGATACAGTTAGTGCATTCCTACTCTGTTTTTAATCATTTTCCTCAGATACAGTACAAGGTATTCATTTGAATGTTTTACATTTTTTACGATTATCAATTTCTTCTGATAGTCATCTTAATGTGCTTTTGAGCTAATGCAACTAAATAACTAACTACAAACCCCTATTTAATATTATAGAAAATTAATATTCTGACTAATATGAACTCATATAAATATTTGTTAGTAATCAGGCTTGTTCATATGAGAAACTAATCTTCATCTGAACTTACTCTTTCACTTCTTTAGGAGGCAGCTTTTTTCCTTTTTCCAGGGCAAGTTTAATGCGTAGATCAAAATATTTTATTTGACCTGAAGAAGGGTTAGTGTCCTCCCGCATGCGGTGATGCAGAGTGATGCTCCTAGAACCATATAAATAGGCCATTATTAGTCAATAGTAATAGATTCTTTTTGTAAAATGTTTTGGTATGATTACAATACCTGAGCTCTGGTTTGGCACGCTCTTGGCGGATTGACCTCTGGGAAAACTGCAGAGCGCAGTCTGGATAGGGGTAATCAAGCATCTCCACTTGTTGGCTGTAGAACCTGAGGGGCCGTAGTCTGTCCCCAAACCTCAGTAGGTACTCTGTGTAACAGTAGAAAAAACATGGCTCAAGTTAACAGAAAATGTTTGCTGAAAAATCAGCACAGAAACAAAGGAACTTGCCTGCAACAACATCAACAGACTTGTTGGATGGGCCGCAGTAGAGAATAACTTGTTTCTTTTTCGCATCCCTTGGGTCAACATTAGTCCGTGGGCTCTTAGCGTTCAGCTCAAAGAAACCGAACACTATCTTCACACCAACGACTGTCTTTCCCGTCCCTAAGAGACAAATGAGAAAATGGCTTAACACTTTACAGAAAATATGAAGCATCAGGGTGAGTATCAGTTCCAGCTCTTACCAGGTGGTCCCTGTATAATTGTGAAGGTATTATTTAGAGCTTTCTCCACAGCAAGATGCTGACTCTGGTTAAACTGCGGCAATCCATACGGTAGCTCTTTCCTCTGGTGGTTCCACATTGGTTTTACTGCAAAGACAACATTATGAGTATGTAAGTCGCTTTGGATAAAAGCGTCTAACAAGTGACATGTAATGTAATGAATTGTTTTTAGCAAGCACGAGTGAAGCTACAGAATTATACTTTTTCGAAAAGTATATTGTGTTATATTATTTATTCTAATGGTTGACTTGAGACAAATAGTCAAAGTCTATGCAACTATGTACTGCTGACTCATGGACATACCCTCTTTTGGAATGTGTTTTCCAAGCGCTATAGCCTTGACAAGGTCACATGCATACGGAATGTTTTCCACAGCCTCTTCTTTCCGGCTACAAAAGGAAAACATAAAAATGTATGTCAGCAGTTTAATCTAAAGCTGAAGAAATTGTCAAACAACATATAACCTGAATGTCAATGCAAGAAAATAACAGATGAAAAGCCAAACTCTAAGCCATGTTACACAGGTAAAGTCAAAGAGAAATACACTTACATGTCAGGCAGAGACTTTGGGATTATTTCAACTGTGAAAGAAGTGTTTTTCTGAAAGACACAATCAGGAACGTTGTCCATCGGCCGGTCATGGACATAGAACTCCACTTCACTTCCTTCATTTGGAGGTTTTTTTTGTTCTGCTTTTACTGTGACACCGTGGGCCACCCATGTGAACACTCTTGGGTCTGCCAGAGCAGAATGTTCCGGGGTTGAAGGTAGCGTCAAACCTCTTTTCCGTATGCACAGTAAGCACTTTGAAAGGTTACATTCAATGGCCCATTCAGTGATCCATGCAATAGGTAAGAAGAAGCTTCCTGTTAGGCTGCCTTTCTGCTTTTCACGGAAGTTTACCACCAGGTTCTCAATGACTATGCTGTCACTGTCATCCACTGCAGTGGAAGCAGATTCCATTTTACATAACGGTGTCCAGATCTGTACATACTCATTGGTGTCTCTATACAAGATTTTTGATGGTTCCTCTGCATATTTGGCGAAGCATGTGATAGCGCTGTGCACATGGTCCACACAGATCTCAAACCTTGGTTTAATGCGCACCAGCTGAACAGCAGGCAAGATGTAACCTCTTCTTACCTCAGTGGTCATTTGGATCTGAAGGGTGTCCCCTCTCTGCAAACGCAAATGGATGTCGACCTCATGCTCCCTTTGTTCCTCCTGCTCCTCAGAGTCACATGACTTTGATTTGGGAGCTGCCATTTCAGAAGAGTGTGTAATAATTTGTTTTTCCAGCTGCTTAGTATTGGCTTCCATTGTGAGAGACTTTGCATGATCCCAGTTTTCTTGGTCAATTGCTTCAACAGTGGCTTTCCATGTTGTCAGTGGAAGCTCAACGCAAGGACCATAGTCTGTCATTTGCAACTCTTGGTGGATTTGCATGTTGTCAACTGCATAGACCCGCCTTTTCCATGTAAGAGTGATGCAGTCATTTTCTTCATCAAAAATGGGTTGGTCACACAATTGTAAATCCTTGTACATAACTGATACACTTTCTCTAAATATGTTCTTGTTAAAAGGAAATGCCACTGGAACACTGTCTCTGTTGGGACTCCCAACAAAGGCTAGCTTTGAAGCACTTTGTTTTTTTATGCTCACTGCATAGGAGATCTGCTCTGCCTTTTGTTCATACTCCTTGGCATTCTTGACGTTGTCCTCAAATTGACTACACAAAGTTGCAATCTCAGGAGTAGTGTATTGCGCTCTCCGGTCATGTATGATGGAGTGCAAAAGTCTCTGCGAGATGAGGTCCATGTACCGCCGTATTGGGGAGGTTGCTTGTGTGTAAGAATCTACGTTCAGAGAATAATGCCTAAACACTTCTCTGGAGTGGGAGCTGGAACATATGACTTTAGCTTTACTAGAACATTTTCTGAACTGATCAACGACTGATTGGAGAGGAGGATGGATGTCATCTGCCGCTATAAGGTCCACCATTTTGTCAATATCATCTGCTCTGGCAGCTGACTGGATATCTTCCCACACTTCTGTCAGTATGCGGATGTTTTCACAGTTTGAGGGTTGTTCGCCTACTTCGTCAACTCCTTCAACTTTGTGCCGCACATGAAAGGATAGAGGAATTAGTTCTCCGCATTTCGCCTTGAAGTCTTCTATCTTTTCACAATCAGGTTTTGACTGACAGCGAAGGGGTGTGCAATCCAAGGTTTTCTTTGAGTCAATCAAATCCTTTGATGCAAGTGTATTAAATAACACACTCAGCTCTTCAATCATCATATTGGCTTTACGCTTTCCTGGCAATCTCTTATCATCAGGTTGAGAATAAGCCCAATCTGAGCCCAGTCTGTCCTTCCTTCGAGCTTTTGCAAAACCATAAGCCACTGTGACACAGTCTTCTACAGAGTCAAATGCAGGTCCCTCTCTATACCGGTCAGTGATTATGGCCTCTGCCTCGTCATAAGACAACTGCCTGTTAGAATTGATCCCTGACAGCTGGAGTTTGTGCTTTCCAATGATCTCATTTGTTTTCTTGTTTACTTTGAACATTAATGATACCACCCTGCGTTGTTTGCCATCTGACAGAAGACTGAAGGTTCCAGTGCTTAACTCTTTGGGGAACATGTGCACAGGGTCTACACTGCCGCTGTAATATGTAGTACCACGTTGTTCTGCCTCCTTGTCCAATTCACAACCTGGGATCACAAAGCTGGCCACATCTGCAATGTGGACTCCCAACTCATACTCATGCTCTCCAATCTCCCTAACACTGATGGCGTCGTCCAAGTCTTTTGCTTCTTTGGGGTCAACCGTGAAAGTGATCATATGGCTTAAGTCCTCTCTGTGTGTCCCGTCTTCATCTTGTGAGAAGAGACCCTCGTCTGGATTACATGTATTGGGTTCAACTTTGAATTCTTTATTCAGGATCCGTAGACCGCCAACCACAGAACTTCCAATAGGAAGAATATCTATGACGTTCCCTAATGGAATATAACAATTTTCTTTCCATCCAATTATTTGCACCACAAATACATTGTTCTGTTTGAGCTTTTCATCAAGATGCTCAAACGCTGCAGTCGTCCACTGACCATTCATTTTCTCCCATATTGGAATGCAGTTACGTTTTCTCTTGCTGATCAGTATGCGTATTTTAGGGGCAGATTTTGCAATGGGTATCATCGTTCTTTTGATAAATGTTTCTTCAGAATTTTGTCTTGGTTTGCTGTGATCCTCATCCTCAAGCAGACACACAAGAACGCGGGCTGATTCAGATTGCTTGGTGATGCTGATCACCTTCTCTGTTTGTAAGACCACTTCGTCTCCAGTGAAGGTCTGACCCATGTTATCTCTTCCTTTGATGCGTATTCTTGAGGTGGGGTTGTCAAATGGTACAACATAACCTTTGTTATATGACTCCCTGACCAACTTTCCGTGCTTGAACATCCCTGGATATTTCAAAAGATTTGCATCAACATCACTGATATTGTATGATGATCTTGACCTATGGTTGTTGAAGTCTTTACATTTCCACTTGTCCTCATCCAAATGGTGTTCTTTTTTCAGGAGTTCATAGTCATCTTTCAACTCTTGAAGAATTGCATCACTGAGAGTGCTGCTCTCATCCACATGTTCAGGCTTCTGAAACTTTGTCGTTTCCATGACATCTTTCATGAAGAAATCCTTGGTGAAATGCTTTGGTGTGACACTGTTGTTGTTGATGCAATGATCTATGTAGCTCTTCCAGACCTTTGAGCAGTTCCCAAAGCAACAGAGGGCAGCAGCATCTCCAACCACAACTACCTGGGACTGAGCTCTGGTCATTGCAGTGTTCAACACACGCGCATCATTGAACAGCTCCAGACCAGGTAGGTGAGATGTTTTCAGGCTGTCACGTGTTTGCACAGCTGTCATAATGACTGCCCTGAACTGTTTACCTGTAAACACATGAAGACAATGTGTTTTCTGTTAAATGACAATGATATGGAAAGGGTAATATAAATATATATACGGTATATAATAACGGTCAAACAGGTGTGCAGGGTTGGCACAATCAATGTCTAACAAAAAAGGATAATCATCCAGGAGTTCTTAAAGCGAAACTAAATTACCTTGGACATTTGCAAGATTCTCAACATGGACTTCATTGAGGCCTCTTTTTGAAAGTGCTTTCCTCATTTGCCAGACCTATGAAACACATGAAAAAAGTCAGATAATTAAATTATTACAACTCGACAAAAAAATACATTGAGATATTACTTGATGCAGAAGTCTTTGATAAATATTTTTTAAAAACAATATATTCATCTCAATCTTAAAAGTTACCTGACATCCGTCTGATAGAATGCAGATTGAGCTTGGGTCCTTGGGCCCCCATGTCAATGGCCACTGTTCGAGAACCTCTTTCACTGCTTCAGCCACTTTGACAACTTCTTCTTTGTTACACCAAGACATAGACCCAGTGTCCAAGAGACATTCTCCCCTGACATGGTGAAACTTTAAGGCATTGCCATTTGCAGGAGGCGGAACATTTCCTTTAGCTTTGATAACGTCATTCTTACCGACGTAGAAATTGGTGGAAACAAAATCCACAATCTCTTTGGTTGAGCGGTAGTTTTCATTGAAAATGATTCTACTATTCTGGGCAGCATCACACTTTTGGCCTTGATAGTAGTGGAAGAGGCGATTAAGGAGTGTGTGATTTGAACGGTGATGATCATCAACTGAGAAAAGCTTGGGTCCCATTTGCATGTGATCTCCAGCCAAAACAACTCTGGTTTGTGGACCAGCAAGGCCAAGGGCCATCAAGGCTTCACATTCAAGCATCTGAGAGGCTTCATCAATCAGTATGTGGGTAAAATATCCCTCTGGGAGATTTAGGTCATGGAAATGTCTTGCCATTGTTGTGGTTGTTATAACTATTTTGTGGCGATCAAGAGCAGCTTTTGTAGGTGGTAAAAAAGACTGTTTGTCTTCCGAAAGCAAGCAGTATTTCAAAGTGATCTCATCTGTGGCAAACAAAGCTTTCCCTTGTTTGTTCACTTTTATTCTAATTGGCCTCGTTCCATTATCTTTCTTGTTGATGAATGGATGGAAGTGATCTCTGACGTACAGATCTGCAGAACTGAAAGGAAAAAAAAGTTAATGTTGGTGCTATTTTTGGAAAACATACTCTAGACCAGGGGTGCCCAACCAGTCGATCGCGATCGACCGGTCGATCGCGGGGAGATTCCCAGTCGATCGCGAGATGTGTCTAAAAATAGAACAACAATATTCTGTTTTATCGTTAATGTCCTTTAACATAATCTTCCTGTGCCAGAAAAATGCACTTGAACGCATCAAAGCTTTGTGATTGGCCGGCGTGACCCCATGTGTCGGGGCGTGGCTGGTGAGCAGTGGGCAGTGTGCACTAGTTCGCTAACGTTGTCCGTGTCAACAGGAGTGACAGTCCGCACACACACAAGACCGCAATTATGGCAGAAGCAAAACATATATAATTCTCACTCCGAGTGGGAGGATGATTATTTGTGTATCTATTCCAATTCAAAGTCCATCTGTCTCATCTGCAATGCGAGCGTGGCTTTATCGAAGAAGGGTAATTTAGGAGCGGCATTTCAAAACAGTGCACAAACGCTACGAGACGGAATTCCCTCCAAATTCTGCCCTACGCTCCAAAAGGGGAGGGACCTGAAAGGACAGCTAAATGCACAGCAGTCCATTTTCACCAGGGTTGCATTCCAATAGTCCATTTAGCTTAGGAACCTTCCTAACGGAGTGAAATGACCCGGAAGTCCCTCAGTGGCAGCCATGATAAGTGCCGTTCCAATTCTCCAAATGAAAGGAAAGGAGGTTTCAAACTTCCTTTATAACCTCCTTTAGCTTAGGAACCACTGGACCTCCCTAACCGAAAGGAGAGGAGAAAATTCTGCCCCACAATGCATTGCAGCCGCAGCATTTGCCGTCACTCAACAGTCGGCCGTTCACGGAAACAAACGATTATGACCGAGAAATTATATCATGAAAGTTACGGTGCTTATTAAGCATTTTAAAACGTATGTGGTAAGTTGCCAAAGTGCTTTTTTCTGAACGTTCATCAGTATTATAATCAAAAAGAGAAATATGAACGTTAGTTTTTACTGAAATGATCAAATAAAGTCAACATCTCACAGTCTTTACTGAGCTGTGTGGGGTTTGTTCAACTTTTAAAAGATGTTTGAATGGTGATATACACAGTGATAGATGTTAAGGACTAACGTTTATAATAAATACATTTGTATTGATTTTAAGATATTTTCATAGTTCATACAATCATACGTATTGGGATCATTTGTATTAATGTGGACCGGAGGGAGAGGGTGACGAGCATACATTTCACTTTCCTTTTTTATTTCAATTCCAACTTTGGTCATGAAGAACATGTTTCTCTGTTGTCCACGTTCATAAAGCATAAAGCAACAGCATCAGAGCACGGTGCAGAGTCTCTAGATGAGTTTACAGTAGTCCCTCGTTCTTATTAAACATCCATGTTGTAGTCCGCTGTATAGAAAACTGTAGTTTCCATAGTTTCCCCACAGCAGCAGACGCACATTCATGACGTCCGCTGGCGCATCATAAACACGTCGGATAGTGAAAGTGCATTCGGATTCTCTAAAGTACCGCGGTCTCTTCTCCTAAGTCCTTTTGAATTCTCCTATCCACTATCCCTTAACCCCGTGACGTTTCACTCAGAGATCAAGGAATAGGAGATAGGGTTAGAATTTAGGAGCTGATTTTTGGATTATCGGAACGCAACCCAGGCCCAACAACAAGAGCAAGGCTGCTACCATAGGCATAGCATCTTAACGTATCAGTCACGTTCTTGCGTAACACATGTAGTCTTTCAAAGACGGCGAAGTTGTGAAAGAAGCATTCCTGGAGGCTGCCGACGCGCTTTTGGGGGACAGTAAAAATAACAGTAGCATTTCAACAGGTTTTTGATATAATAAAAACTCAAGTTAGATACCGTTATTAATCTGCTGTAAGTTTTAGTTTGTTTGAACTTAGTCATTATAATTATTGTACAAAATGGTATAAGAATGCAAACTTAAATTGATTATAGTCTATTATCAATTCAGGTTAAGAAACTAGTGTTGCTTGCATCCTATTTTAAAGGCATTTCTTTTTTATAATCTACTAAAATGCAACAAAACAAGGGTTAGATTCTATTAATTTTGTCTTTTTTATTGCACTTTGGCAGCAGATTCCTGTGTTGCTTCAGATCTGAGTTGTCTTATTAGTAAGCCTAATTTATACTTTTGTAGCAACCCTGTCTCCTAAAAATTACGTTCCCACAGAACTAAACTGCATTCTCAATTACGTTTAGCTAGAAACGTATTTTCTCCCACGTTACGTTTGTTATGAACGTATCTCAAATACGTTTATTTTCGACACATATCTTCTCCCACGTTACGTTCGTTATGAACGTATCTTAAATACGTTTATTTTCTACATATCTTCTAGAAACGTATTTTCTCCCACGTTACGTTCGTTATGAACGTATCTTAAATACGTTTATTTTCTACATATCTTTGCCATGTATTGCCTTGCTTATAATAATGATAATAGTCATTTATAAATATCATTTTAGAGCACACATTTGAAATCGAGAATCGGGCTCGATATATGGTTAAATTAAAATCAGTAGGCGAGGCTGTAATTTCGGCAGCTGTTACTCTCATGAGCGAGGCAGAAAATAATAGTTTTAACATGACAAAAAGCTGCTGTGTCGTTTATTGCACCTCAAAGATTAAACAAATCCAGAGTTACGTGTTTCTGTACTTCCTCTAAGAAGAAAGGACAGTAAAAGAAGAGCTCTGTGGCTTCAGGCTTGATCGCCGTTCAAATGACAGCGTTGGTTTCCCCAAAAGTGGGCGGGGCTGTAAAGTGACGTTTTACTATCATCTATTATTCAAAACCATTCTATTTATTCTAACGTAAATTACATGCCAGTGTTTTATCTTTTTATTTATTTGATTTTATTTTAAATCGTATAATGTCGGACTTTTTTCCCGTCTGTGAGGAAAATAAATGGGGTTTAGAGCCTCAAAATACTGAAATCTGTATTTTTTAAAATCTTTTCCTTCTAATTTGTTATTCTTTTCTAAATAACACACTGTTATTTACTCAACCATAACACACAATTATCCTTGTTTTTATTTATTCGTTTAATTCTATAATCTTGGGCTTTTTAGCCGTAAATAAAGTCACCGGAAACAGACGGGACATTTCGAGCGATACACACCACAAACCCACCGAACTGATTACCCAAGATCCTCAGCTTGAAGCTCGTTGATTGGATGTTTTAGCCGCAATAAACGCTGGGATATGGTGTTAATAAGTTGCGATATCCGAAAACGAAAAATAAAATAATACCTAATTCAGAGTGTTCTTGCTTTTCTCTTTGGAAGTCATCACATAACGGCATTGTAATACACGGTTCGGCTGCCTTAAATATTATACATCTGCCGTAGTTCTTTATTTATAGAGCCCTGATGAGAAGACTTCTAGACAAACATGAGGAACTGCCGCCAAAACTGAATACTTGATGTGGATCATAAATATATCAACAATTAAACAACATCTTCAATTTCTTTTCACAAAATACGTCTCCTTGCAGTATCAATAGTAATTCGGCTGACTTTTATATTTGATCCAATTGGTAGATAATAGGTTATATTTACACCATAACGGTGCACAGCTGATAGAAAAGGACTTGTAGTTTTTAAAGATATTACTGATTTTCTTTAAATATAAGAATGTAAATACTGAGTTGAGAGAATAGTCAGGGGATTTGGGTGATGGGAGACACATCTATGGATTCAGAATTTCAATAGCGTACCATTAAATGACGGATATACCTTTCTGTCTGTGATGTTTTACAAATCAGATATTAATGTGTAGAAGTAAAACATTAGAAATAGTATAGCAATATCCTGTAAAATTATGTAAAAACATGAATAAAACTACACATCTTCAGATGTTATACATACATAAGTGTTCTACACTAATAATACAAAGTTATTATTAGTATGCTGTGTGTACCTTGTGTGCACCGCCTAGTGGTTAAAGCACGTTATTGAATTATTTTTGTTGAATAATGTTATTTGATGAAAACAATATTAAGAGTACATACTTTCATAGGGGGAAAGTAGAAGGTCAATGATAGAAATATAGAATATAAAAAGTCAAGAAGATACTATAAGTGATCTCTACAATAAAACAGTTTAGTGCCGGATGTACAAAGATATTAATAGGAGGATGTGCAAAACAGAAAAACGAATTAACCTTTATTAACACATTAAAGAATACTTTAGGTTAAGGTCTTATTTTAAACAAGAAAAAAGCTTTGGGGGTATCTATCTACCGATGAATATTAAGCCTGACAAAGTACTTAACGTCTAATATATTGCTTTCCTGCAATGTTAACTATGTTGAAGCACTTCTTTTAACTGATATTATACACATTAATTATACTCTTATGTATGTAGATAGAATAAGAAATGTGCAGAATATGACAGTTTAATGGTGGAGGTACACACATATTGATAGATGTCTTGTAATGCGCTGTTGAGGAACCTGCGACCCAAGTTGTGTATATGATCAATAAACCTTAGAAAATCTTGAAAGGGATGTGCAAAATAGCCATTATACAGTTTTTAATTAACTATTAGTAGAGAATAACGAGTAATGAATATACTTTATAGAGATCTGCAGATAAATGTTTCGTCTTCTCAAGCACCACCTATCAAATATCTCTCCTGATTGTTGGCACTTGACAATCACCTTCCCTGAATTTTACTCAGGTGTAACTAAAGTCTGCTTTAAGGGTTGTTTATATTTCACATCATTAATCAGAATCTGCAAAGTAACTAAACTAAATGTAGTGGAGTAAAAATACCAGGTTAACCTCTGAATTGTAGTGGAGTAGAATTACAAAGTAAGCTGTCGTGTGGGTATATATTAATGCTGCCCATTATGGATATAAGCGATTTTTACCCATTTAGTAATTACATGTTTTAAATGTGTACACACCAATATGTTTCCTATCGCCTAAACCTCCAGGGCTGTACACAGTTTAATACTGGCAACTTCTAATTTTGGGAAAAACGTCTTTTAAAACTACAATTCCCAGTAGAGACGTGCCATAGAGAACATGTTGCGAAACACAATAGCCAGCATGTGTATTTCTCGGGGGGCGTTCGAGTCCAGTTTTGAATAGTCTGCCGTGGTTTCGTTCCATTTCAAAGAGCTTGACGCTCGGCGTAACCTTGGCGCACTACCACTCCAACATCACGGGGTTTGTCAACGGGACTGTAGTCCCAAACGATAGCTGGGGATTATGGGTAGTGTAGTGTCTTCGGCCATCCTAAATCTCGAAATGTCCCGTCTGTTTCTGGTGACTTTATTTACGGCTAAAAAGCCCAAGATTATAGAATTAAACAAATAAATAAAAACAAGGATAATTGTGTGTTATTGTTGAGTAAATAACAGTGTGTTATTTAGAAAAGAATAACAAATTAGAAGGAAAAGATTTTAAAAAATACAGATTTCAGTATTTTGAGGCTCTAAACCCCATTTATTTTCCTCACAGACGTTTATACGATTTAAAATAAAAACAAATAAATAAAAAGATAAAACACTGGCATGTAATTTACGTTAGAATACATAGAATGGTTTTGAATAATAGATGAGAGTAAAATCTATGTCACTTTACAGCCCCGCCCACTTTTGGGGAAACCAACGCTGTCATTTGAACGGCGATCAAGCCTGAAGCCACAGAGCTCTTCTTTTACTGTCTTTTCTTCTTAGAGGAAGTACAGAAACACGTAACTCTGGATTTGTTTTAATGTTTGAGGTAAACGACACAGCAGCTTTTTGTCATGTTAAAACTATTATTTTCTGCCTCGCTCATGAGAGTAACAGCTGGCGAAATTACAGCCTCGCCTACTGATTTTAATTTAACCATATATCGAGCCTGATTCTCGATTTCAAAGGTGTGCTCTAAAATGATATTTATAAATGACTATTATCATTATTATAAGCAAGACAATAAATGGCAAAGATATGTAGAAAATAAACGTATTTAAGATACGTTCATAAGGAACGTAACGTGGGAGAAAATATGTTTCTAGAAGATATGTAGAAAATAAACGTATTTTAGATACGTTCATAACGAACGTAACGTGGGAGTAAATACGTTTCAAGCTAAACGTAATTCAGAATGCAGTTTAGTTCTGTGGGAACGTAATTTTTAGGAGACAGGGTTGTTTGTAGCAACACTATTTTTATATAATGGCAAAGAAAGGGTTCAGAGTCTTTTCTTTTTTTCCTGTATCATATGTGGCAGCACTGTTCAATGTTTCTTGAAAACATTACCCACTGTAGTGTGACGTGTGAATAAACTCCAACTCTGTATCAACAACACTGTTGTGTAACTTCAGTTAAATACTTGTATGTGTGTAGATTAGAAAGAGGTAAGATAAAGGATCTGCAGTATTTTATGAAGTATTAATCGTACAAAGGTGAGTTTTATACAAGTAGAAGTGTGTATTTACCTGGTAGTAGGCTGTCAGTAATGGCTACGCCTCTCTATTTGGACTGGTAGATCTCGGCAGACTGGCAACTTTAAAAGTAGCTCTCGGTTCAAAAAAGGTTGGGCACCCCTGCTCTAGACAGTACAGCTTAGAGCAATGAGCATGACTCGATGAACACTTTGAAAGTAATAAAAGGTCCACAAAAAAAAAATCTGTTTTTAATGTATTAAGGAATCAGTATATTATTAACACATATAGAATAATTGTCATTACCTGTTGGTGTGGGTGCAAATAAGCACTTTGTTGGGAGGCAGCTTACACAGCTCTCGGGCTGCTAAAGCAAGGGTGAATGTTTTCCCAGTTCCAAATGGTCCGTAGATGAGAAGTGGTGCTGAATATTTCTGGACATTGGGGCTTCCTGTGATAAAGTCAACTGCTGACTGCTGCTTTGGGTTGAGCTTCTCATGTTTGATGTTATTCACAGGAACTCCACAGTGTTTAAGGTCTGGCAGCACTCTTTTTGTATCAGGAAGGAGGTCTACGGCCTTGTGCATGGTGCAGAAGCTGTGGCGATTGAGCTGGAACTGCACCTCCATTTGATACGACTCATTGCTTCTGAGTGTAAGATCAGAGCAACACTCCTTAGACAGTTGCAAATACATGGTGTTCTCACTTGTTTCGTCTTTCAGTATGCTGGCTTCATAGACCTTGGAGTTTTGACTACTTTCAGATAAAGGGGCTATCAGGGCAGACTGGATGCTGCGTTTCAGTGCCAGTCCCTCAGGGGTGTCTGGAGTGAGCTTACAAGGAATGGAGACAGCACAGAACAGTTCTCCCCGAGGAGCCTTCATCATGCCAAACTTTTTACAGTTCAACATCTCCGATGTTGTAATTCCTCCACAAACATTTAACCTAAAGAAAATCAGAAAACAAGCTTAGAATTTGTAAATAGTTGCAAAATCCAAACATGATAAAAGGAACTCTCTACAGGAAAGCACATTACCTTGAAACAATCTGGTCCTCTGCCTGTTCCTCATCGTACAGGAACTGGTGCATTCTTTCTCTGTAGTTGTCACTGTTCAGAGGTGTTTGGCTGCTGTAGGAGGATTTATACAGAAAGCTAATCTGAGGAGGCTTGTACTTCTTTAACAGTTTCTCCTGTTCTTCTGTCCTGGACGAACATGGGATGATAACCCGGTTTCCTCGATGCCAGCGCTCAGCACTTTGAAAGGTGTATCCAAACGTCACTGTTGGTTGTTCAACGTCATCCAATGACAGCTTGCCTACTCTAACCCGGAGTTTCTTCAAGAGCACTGGTCTCATGTCAAAATCTAGTACTAACCACTGGTCGTACAGGCCTGGGTTGATGGATGTGAAAGACACGGTGATGTCATAGGTCATGTCGTCAGTGAGAAAGGGTTCACCGGGGGAGTAGATGCAGGGCACTGAGCTGATGTCGCCGAGCGTATAGGAAGCTCCTGGTTCTTGCTTTAGCAGCGCCACATGCACGAGCTGTCTCTGTACATACAGAAAGTGGCTAGTAAGCAAACTATGAACAACATTTCTCAGACATGAAGGAAAACACATTTCTATAGATGATGTGAATACTACAAAGATACTAAGAAGAGTAACTAGGGTAATAGTTGAACACAGCATTCTGATTAAGGGCTTTTATATATATGACATTGTATAGCTATAGCTCACAATGGGCTGTAGTACTTGATAATTAGTTTTCACCTGGACCACAAGGTTTAGATTTAGAGATATACTATATATAGAGATTTCAATGTAAACTGGAACCATCCTGTTCCACTCATACACCTTTTATTCCAAGCCCATTACTGCATTCCAATGATCACTGCTGTCTCAGTGTCATTCAGGAATATACACTGTTTTGCATGGCGGTTAGTTCATTATTCATCGTGATAATTCACATATTAATAATACCATGCAACTAATTATTTTCCACAGTGCACACACACACACACACACACTACAGCAAATGTGTTAAGGGCACAACACAGTTTGCTGTGTCTGTATGAAGTACTCTGAAATGACTAATTCAGCAGCAGACATTTCACATAGGAAAACAAACCAACCTCAATGCATTGAAAAACATGGTAAACATCTGACCTCTGTTTCAACTTGGAAGTTCCATCGCAGTGTTTCATTGATCTGCTCACACTCCACAGTTACATCTCCGTCACAAGAGATGCTGACATCGTTGACTTGCTCTGATAACTGTAACGTTCGAGATGGTGAATTACAAATATGGTATTTAAGGAACTGAGAATATATAGTAATATATACAAAACATGTATGTAGTGAACTATCTAATTGCATTTCTTATTTCTTAAGTCACTCATTTGTACTACTGTTTGTTGTAACTGGATGAAGTCCAGGCATCTCTGTTCCTGAAATGAAAGGGAGCACTCTACAGTCCTGGGGAAGCGCACATCACTATACATTATACCCTTAGATCACTGTCTGTGGCAGGTCTATATATACCCATAATGCACCAGGTTCAAATTCAGTAAAGCACCAGACACCGACTGCGTATGACCTGTGTTATCTCTCCCTTAGCGTTTGAAGGAGACGCCTAATCCTGTCCAGTTTATTTCTGTGTTGTGTCTTGTGTACAAAGGTACAACAGTCTGGCAGTCTGTATTCATGCATTAAAGGCTGGATTTAAAGACTTTTAGATAACTGAACAAATCTGAACAGAATTAGATAATGTGCCAAATACTTATACTCACTATGTGTACTTCATTACTGCTGTTTTTGTATTCCTCCAGCAGCTCCAGGTTATAGTTCATGAGACCCTGGGCTCCGATGCTCTGTCTGATCTCCTTCTCCTCTGCAGCTCGCATCAGCCACTCCTTCAGCTCCTCCTCAGAGTGAGCTTTGGGGCACTTGCTGCCGTACTCACATGTTTGTGGTCTAGGATGAAATGGACTTTTTAATCGTACTATAAAAATACTATGGCTATATTTTGCACATTTTTCTCAGGAGGTTTATACTAATGTGAATTATAGTTACTTATTTGTTACTACTACTACTACTACTACTACTACTACTACTACTACTACTACTACTACTACTACTACTACTACTACTTATGTTTTAAATGCCTGAATAAAAGATAAATCAAACAAAGGCAGCAGAGATAGATCATTCTGCTCAAAAGGACAAGTATTTTGATTTTTGCCTGAACTGAATGAAGTGCTTTTAATAAGTGAATATTCCATGCCACATTGAAATCAAATCACAACACAGAGAGTGTGTGCAATACTATAGTGAGCTTATACTGTTTGGGATGGATGATTTGATGTGATTGGTATAGAATATAGAAGATCATTGGCGCAACCTTTTAACAGGATAAAACAGACCCAAAAAACGATAAATATAGAAAATATATATATATAAAAAAGTTTTAAATAAAGTTTTGGTAATGTAAGGCATTTTTGATAAAACAAATGAGTTCTGATTGTTTAAGACAACCTGACATTTCTTAAGAAAAAAAAGTGTAATGTGAACAGTTGTATGCCTCATTTACACATGTGCATTACAGCTTACAGATCACAGTGTACACAAACATGTAGTCCCCGGTATCTGGAACTGAACTATATAGTATTTACTTTATGATCAAAACTCTTGTCAAAATGTTGTCAAGATCTAGAAATTATTTTACACTCATTTCCACATCTGTGGGTTACTACACACTCCACAAACTAAAGTTAAATGGATAACATGTGTCTCTTTTTTACAGCATAGAAGACGTACAGAACAACCAAGAAAATAGAAAATAAATAAAACAAACACACCAGACATGACAGGAATACTAACAAATCATATATAATATCAAAATAATAATAATAAAAACACATAGGTTAAGAACAAATACAAAACCAATTATCATAAAAAGTTGTGTAAATATATATAATTCAACATAAATAAAAACGATTAGAAAATAAAATCATATTAAAAAAAATTCAAGGTGGAAATAAACCCAGACTACCCCCCCTCCCCTCAGTGACACGCCTGATCTACCATGTGTTTGTTTACCTCTCACAGAGCCAGAACTCAGCCCGGTGGTTGTGTGGGGGCTGCCGGCCCCTCCACCTGGTGGTGGTGTCCTCAGAGAGCAGCTGGGCGTGCTCCAGAGAGGAGCAGTGCTCGAAGAAGCTGTCTGGGGAGGAGAGCACCAGCAGGCACACTCTGCAGTACATGGAGACCGACTGCTGCTCTGTTAGCTGCTGCTCTGTTAGCTGCTGCTCCGTCAGCTGCTGCTCCGTCAGCTGCCGCTCCGTCAGCTGCCGCTCCGTCAGCTGCTGCTCCTTCAGCCTCTGCTCCGCCTGCTGCTGCCGGCTCAGCTGCTGCTCCTTCAGCTGCTGCTCCGCCTGCTGCTGCCGGCTCAGCTGCAGGACATAAGGTCGCACGGAGACCCCGCCGTGCTCTACCCTCCACACGGCCATCTCCACCTCGCTGTGCGCAGCCTGGCAGCGGCCCGCCTGGTGCCAGCAGGGTTTCCCCTCCGTCACATGACTGCAGAACTCAAAGTGACAGTTCTGGGGGAGAGGGCGCACCTGGCTGTAGACGTGCTTCCTCTTATTCTCTGACAGGTGATGAACTAGGACTGGGTCCCAGGGGTGCGCTGCATCTGCTGAGCAAGAGGGATTCCATCTCTTGGTTGTTAGTTGTTGTGGCTTGTCATTGAAGCAGCGTTTGCAGAGCTCGATGAATTCACCTGGAAACTGCTGGAGAATGCTTTCAGCTGTACTCTCCGGTGTGATTGAAATCGGTTCAGACTCAACTACAAGTCGGATGAACTCCTCTCTACCAATGTGTTTGTCCTTCACATAGTTCCACAGAGTGGCCTCCTCATCGCTTCTGGCATAGGTGCACGTCTGCCCGTGCTTTGTGCACCCAGAGCCCTCCACAAAGAACTGACACACTTGGTAAACGACGTTGCGACCACCTGTAGGCCGCTCAGAGACAGGCCTCCAGAGGTCACAGGCTTTGTCTTTGGCTAAAAGAAGATTTCTACTGCACTTGTGACTCACCGACTGAACTGTGTATGATATTTGGTTCTCTTTGACAGAACACAGATCACACACAGCCTTCAGATCTAGAGCTGGCAGGTCCCTCAGAGACTCAGAGTGATCAGGCGGATCCGCTCCTCCCTCAGACTGAGCTACAAGGTTACAGAGCGACACATGGTTGATCCTGTGACACTTCTCAAATGTCCAAACATCAGCTTCCTCATCACTTCTGGCAAAGGTGCACCGATTCTTGTGGTACGAGCAGCCTTGACCCTCCTTAAAGAAGTAACACACCTCATACCGAACGGGATTGGGAAACGTGGGCCTCTTTGACACAGGCCTCCATTTGCTGCCACATTTGGCTCTGCAGAGCAAGAGGTTGCGTGCACACTGGTGTTGAACTGGTTTGAACCTGTAGGTAATTTCTTTCTCCTCGACAGAGCATTTAGTGCATACAAGTTTGAGGTCATATTTTGTTGTAAGAGGAGCAAGGTTGGTGGCTGACATGGTGATACGCTGAGTCACCAGCTGCAGTCAACATGTGTCATGACCTTGTACTTTGTAGAAATATGCCCAGAGTTTAAGCAATTTCTATGTTTCCATTTGTGTTGCATTCAGTCACAATAGACCAATAGACCTGAAGTCACTAACGGGCCTCTGAGAGAATGAGGGAGGATTCACTTCATAAATGTCAAACCGAAGGCCAAAGTGAAGAAATGTGGAGCTGAGCTTGAATATGTCTGAAAAAACAGAAGAGAAGACAGCATGATGAGAAGAGCGCTCAATGTCTTCAATTCAATTCAGAAAGCCATTTAGTCACATATATTTCCGGCAAATATTATAGTTTGTTTATCTGTTGAATCATTTACATAGTCTGGCTTTCACATTTAAAGTCTAGACACCAATGAACGAAAACAAATTTAGTTTACTTTTCTTGGCATTTGCAATGTGATCTGAATTCTGATTACAATATGGGCCAGACCTTCCCATTGCTCCGATCCAAAGAGTTCTGCTTGAATTGACACCTGACCGCATGGCTGTCCTCCTGATAGGATATCTGTACAGGTTACATCTTAAAGCCAGGTGTAAATGGGGTCACACATATTTGTTTTTATCCATTGAGGAAAATAGATAGAAGGCTTATTGTTTTTTAACAGATAAATGATACAGACAAGGTAGAGGAAAACAATAGGCAACAGGTCAGAATGCAGCTTATAATGCAGAGCCTTCCTGTGGGGTACTCTATCATCCTGGTCAAAGACCTCACGGCAAAATAACAACAAACTTATGATAAACATGCTCCAACCGAAAACGATAAAAAGATCATTTCAAGTATTCAGGAATCCATCGTCACCCACAGAGGATGAACAATGAACCAGCAATGAAAAGAAAGAAACAATTGTACATATACTGATTTCAATCATATCCACATAACACTTTAAAGTAGTGTAAATACATCATATATTTTTTTATTCTAGGAACACATATTATTTTGTATTATTAATCCTATTTAACAGCACTATATTATTAGCAGCAGTGGTATAATGTTAATAAGTACATTTACTCAATTATTGTTTTTATTTTATGCTACTTTATACTTTTACTCCACTATATTTTGTGAGCATTTAAGTTACATATTTATTTCCTGGTTGCTTTGCAGATGTAGGTTTAAATCAACTAATACATGATCCTATATTATGAAACGTCCAGCTACCTAGTTGTAGATGGAGTCATTCAAATAAACCCCACTTTTACTGAAGTAAAAACACATAAATGCACCAATCTTGTACTTTTACTTAAGTACTGTTTAAATGTAGTACTTTCACTTGTAACAGAGTATTTTTATACTTTAGCATTGCTACTTTGACTAGGTGGGAAGTAACTAAGTACATTTACTCAAGTACAATTGAGGGCCTTACCTCAAATATATAGTATTTCCATTTAATGCAATTTCATACTTCTACCCGACTACGATTCAGAGGTAAATCTTGTACTTGTACTCCACTACATGTATTTAATCCCTTTAGTTACTTTACAGATGTGGATGAATGATGTGAAATATAATCAAGTGTTGAATCAGACTTTAGTTCCACCTGGAGTAAATCCACCAGCTACCCTGCAGTATACAAAGTCATTCAAACTAGCTGCACCTTCACCAGCTTTGAGAACACTTTCATGATCAATCATTATAAAACATATCATAGATATTATTCTGAAATGGACCAATCTGCACAACGACTACTTTCACTTTTGAAATTTTGAGTATAATTTGATGCGGATATTGTTCTACTTTTACTTGAGTTACATTTTGAATGCAGGACTTTTATTCTAACCGAGTATTCCTACACTCTGGTACTTCTACTTTGACTGAATTACAAGGTCTGGCCGGGTACTTCTACTGTTACTCCCTCGTCTGATGAGCAGTATTATGCCTCTAAATGTCAGCAGGTGCCTCTGCATGGAGCTTCCAGCGTCAGTCCACCAGAGGGCGCAGCTGAGCATGTTCCTGGTGCAGCACACCCTCAGCATGATGTCAGCGACAAGAGAATAAACAATGGTTTGAGGTGAAGGTTTTCTAGCGGTAAATATGCCTTTAAATATGCCCCTAAAGACGATTCAGTTATTACTGATTCAAAATAACATGTCTACAAAATGTGTCCTTTACTGTCTGACGAGTTTATTTCAACAGTAGCCTATTACTGTCTGCAACTGCTGGGATTTCCACTACTACTACTACCACTACTATTCCTATAAATACATAGGATAATCACAATGATAATCGCAGTGACGACGACGACAACAACAACAACGACAACAACAACAACAACAACAACAACAATAGTAATGAGCGTAATTAGGCAGCTCCTCATAAGTGTGTATTCGCAGGATCTTCCATGTTATCTCAAATCATTTCTCTCAACGCTTCATTGAAATATGAATAAGTAAATGTTGAGATATCGCGTGCACTCACCTCCCGCAGCTCCTCTCGCGGTGACCGGGTTCTGTCTCTCTCGGTGACGGTGTTCTGTCTGCAGACTTAACTTTCGTTTCCCATGCTTTGCGTCACAGCTTCAGATGACAGGCATGCGCTCTGTGCACGCGCATCACTCCTCTTCCTCATATGAACAACAGCTTGTGAATCTGCATACTGTGTTGCAGGAAATGTGTCTTTGGCACTGTTGCCAAGATTAAATAAGCAGAGAAGTTGGGCCGGATGTTTTCGAGATCTTCACAACACCAAGTTAACACATAATTTACATTAAAACAAATCAACAGTCAAAAGATTTCCAATAGAATATAGTTTATTGAAGATTCAACAAAGTACAGCAAACATGAGTCAGTTCATGAAGTGACTTATACACATCTCCTATCAGTTGTTTCGCCTTCTTATGTGTGTGTGTGTGTATGTGTATGTGTATGTGTGTGTGTGTGTGTGTGTGTGGTGTGTGTGTGTGTGTGTGTGTGTGTGTGTGTGTGTGTGTGTGTGTGTGTGTGTAACAGTACAGTCTAATTAGTGGAGTATGGGATGGTCTCAGGTACCAGACACCAGGAGGGTCTCAGGCTCTCCTTTTTGATCTTGACTTTCTCCATTACGTAAGACACCATTATTTCTTACACCATCCTGAATTCCCCTACTCAATCATATTTGTTGGACATTTCCGTTTAGGTCTTTTTTAATGGTGTCTCAACCATGCCTATCCTTAGCTGCCAACTCCATCTCTCATAATCTCCATACGACATACCTTAGTTTTACACCATTATCTACACCAGTTTCTGTCTTTGGACTCAAGGATTCCATCAGCAGGACAGCTCACAGATAAACAGTTAGAGCTTTCAATGGATAGGCGTTGTTATATAATCGGTCTCATACTCTCAAAAGATATCACACAGTGGGAGAAGTACTCAGATATTGTACTTAAGTACAAGTAGAAGTACCAGAGGGTAGCAATACTACAAGTAAAAGTCGTGCATTGCAAATGTTACTCAAGTAAAAGTAGAAAAGTATTAGCATAAACATATATGCAGATTGGTCCATTTCAGAATACTATATATGATATGTTTTATAATGATTGATCATGAAAGTGTTCTCAAAGCTGGTGAAGGTGCAGCTAGTTTGAATGACTTTGTATACTGCAGGGTAGCTTGTGGATTTACTCCAGGTGGAACTAAAGTCTGATTCAACACTTGATTATATTTCACATCATTAATCCACATTTGTAAAGTAACTAAAGGTATTAAATACATGTAGTGGAGTACAAGTACACATTTTACCTCTGAACTTTAGTGGAGTATAGCATACAATGGAAATACTCAAGTACTCAAAATTGTACTTAAAAACAGTACTTGAGTAAATGTACTTAGTTGCTCTGAAATTCAGATTCAGATGACTTTATTGTTCATTACATTTACATAAATGGAAATGTGTCTTTGGCACTGGCAAATAGGCTAACATCACACTCACCACACACAGGACAACATTCAGACACACAAAGAGTGGTTTGTTCTTCCATGGCTTGGGTCCATATCAGTTAAATGATTAGGTGATGGTGTTGGTGGCAGTGTCCTAAGAAGGATCCTTGAAAAGGGATTAAAAAGCAGGAAACACAACACCTAACATTCTCTATGTTCTCTGACAGGGAAAACAGGATTGAAAGAAAGTAGATGGCCTAACATTGGCACAGGCATCCATGATGCCACGACGAGTCCCACTGACTGACAGTCACACTTTAATGTTAGCATGTTAGCATGTTAGCATTTGCACTGCCTGCACATCCTTATGCATAATTATAACATAACTGGGTTGCTAATAAGGTACAAAACCCCCCGTATTTGCTTAGATTGTTTATGTTAGCACCACCAGATTCCAAAGCAAATTCTTTGTTTGTGTAAACGGGCCTGGCAACACACCTGATTCTGATATGCCAACTGTTGAATGATGCACATCAGCATGTTCAACTCCAAGAGTTGTTAGTTGGCATCCAAGCACATTTCTATTAGCATATACAGCATGTATCTACTGCAATGGACTTCATGTGTTACATGGAACTTTGTATAATCATGTGAAATGATGAATCATTGTGTTTTTGTTGAAATGAAGGGGTTCCTCTTTACTTCCATGCTGCACTGTCTCGTTTTGACAATAGCCCAGAACAGAGAAACCAAACCTTTGCTCTCAGTGACTCTTTGCTGCAGTCTGGTTAGGGAGAGGGGGAGAGGGGGAGAGGGGGAGAGGGGGAGAGGGGGAGAGGGGGAGAGGGGGAGAGGGGGAGAGGGGGAGAGGGGAGACCATTAGGGTTCCGCTTAATCCTACAACCTGTCCCTTTATAGAAAGATAGTAAACATTGTAGCAGTGGTAGTTCAGACAAAGTGTATTTAATGCTGTGCATTGTGTTTCCTGTTGTTGCCGTAGCAACTTTAACCTGTTGTTCAGAGCTTTACGTTTCTCCATAGCCTCAGCTGTTTGGGACCCGGATCTTTAACGTACAAACATCAGGCCACTATTATACATTTACATCTTTTTCAGTTAAGCTGCT